CATGTTACCCCATAATTGACTTCTCCTTCAGTACAATACCTCGCTCAAAAATACTTCAATCTAGCATTGATTTCGGGAGGTAAACGCTAGTAAGTGGTATCATTCGGGACCATTCGGGACAGTGCCCGGTCCAATACTTAGAGAATATTGGACCGGCAATAGAGCATTTTGATTGGTTGATATTAGTTATTGGCCCTCTGACTGCCCGAGTCGTGTAATAAACAAAGTTAGTTCGTTGCTTGAAGGCGTGATTTTTACCTGATCAGATTGAACATTTTACCTTAAAAGTGCTAAGTCTTGTAGTTAAGTGTCATACTTTCTACTAGAAGATCCGAGAGTCCCGCAGATTTTTCCTTGTCACAGGAGTTTTCCATCTTTGACCTCGGCGAGTAAGTACAAGAGAATATATCCCCTTGCCAAGTGAGACAAGTGAGGGTCAGTGAGTGTTGAGTGGGTCCTGCTTTGTCGACTCGAGACTTCTCAAAGCACAAGGAAAAGGAACTTCGACTATAACGAATTCATCATTAGCTATATCATGAATTAGTATATACTAAAACAGTGGATAGCGTTGAAGGCGCGCTCTGATTGGCTAGTCAAACTCCGAATATCCTTTGCTCACCTCCGAGCAACTCGAAAAAAGAATGGCGTCCCGGTTTGCTTCCGTGACAAGCGAAGAAATCACTCAAATTAACGACGGTCGTGTATGTTATCTCACTGTTTTAGTATATACTAAAACAACTATCATGCACTTTGAATCGAGCAGAACTGAAGATACGTTTTCAAGTATTCCACACATCCTGTTTATATTCTGGCATTTCCTTTCCTGTGCAGATTATTTCGGGTGACGTTTTAACATCCGTTGAGGCTCGGTCACGTGAAGTTGTCACCCCGGAAGTTGTGAGCATGTTCCCGTACTCTGTTTTTCGTCTCCGCAATGAAGGTCATTTGATGAGACTTTTAAGCCATGCAGGCAAGTTTTAATTTGACACACCTTTTTCCAATGTCGGCCTTAACTCTTGCCTGGTCATTTTGGTTAATCCGTAGGCATTGAATCGTCCAAGATTCCATTTTGATGTATGGCGTCTTCTTTTCTGCATTGAATATGTCTCAGCGTGAAATTTTCATCGTTTGCGGCTGAAGTATGTCAAACTCAGAAAAGCGCGGTCAAACCACATCCGGTTTCAAAGTGTAATTAAAAAATTAAAGCAGTAACATCGTCATCAGCTGACAGTTCTCTTTGTTCCGGCCAATTAACACATCATTGAGAAAGTTACATTTTATGAAAACAACATAACTGTGTGTTGTAAATTAATCAACCAGCTAATTGATGATAAGATTTTTGGAGCGCATAAAATTGCTAATTAAATTTGGGTTCTATCACTCGTATGCTACTTGTTTTAGAACGCATACCTGAGGAGCCTAAAAACAGTGGTTTGCGATGTACTTGTAGTTACGGGACTGGCAATATAGCCTGTCAGCATTACATGTAAGAAAACAAAGTACTCTCGTTTCGCAACGCCACAGTGACTCAGTAAGGGCACGGCCTTGAGTACGTGGCGTGTCAGCTCACTAAGGAAATAGTGTCGAAACAAACTAAAGAGCTGTTCACCTGGTAAAAGATATCAACAAGATTGAAAGATTTACGATCGAAAGCAATGCTACATACCACAAGTAAAGAAGGTCACGTNAAAAGGAAGGCAGATGAATAGTATAAGAGGTTCTTTTCTTCTTCTTCTTTTTCTTTGTGCTATCGGAGCTTTCCAAGCTGGTGGGGCGTTTGAAAGACAAAGAACATCAAAATCTTTTCCGCAATGACACGCAATAATGTGGATCGCCATGAATTTTTACGTCAGCAATTATAAACCTAGACTAGCAAAGGAAAATCTTTTTTTAAAGGTAACCTTCCCTGGTCTTGCATGTATCAAAAATAATACTTGAGAGCACAATTATTTGGCATTTGGCATGAGAATGGAGTATCAAGTGTGTGACAAAAATCGAAACAGATAGAAGCGCCTTTTGAAACGGGAATTTAGTGCCCGTAACCGGTTAGGATGCTTTAACGCTTTTCCGTTGTCACTATTATCGACATAAACCCCTTGGGACTCCTTGTGAATTTCTTTCTAGTTTTCATATTTATGTCCCTTTTTCCCCCGATCTCCAACGAAGCTCTCCGTCTCGAAAGACCTTCAAGGTAGAGTTAAAGCAATAAATGATCCAACTCGAATTCGACAAATTTAGAGTGATCGCTCCGAGACGTAAAGGCGCTGGTACTCTTGTGGAACAGATTGCATATTTAATGTTTCTGTCTGCCAGTAATGGACGGGAATATGCAATGCGACGGTAATATGCAATGCGACGGGAATATGCAATGCGACGGGAATATGCAATGCGACGGGAATTAGTCGATAAAAAAAGCAAGTCGCAGACTAACCCTTCGATCTTTGTTTTAACGTGTGCATTGGAGTTAGTTGATTTTCAAGGAGAAACATCAATACAGCAGGCGCCGTGGGTAATCTAGTGTCAAAATTATGATAAATGATTCTCAACTCGGTGACGTAGGTAATACCTTTTCTCTGCCCTAAAGACCGCTAGTTAAAATTAATTCGAATGGGCGTCTAAATGATTCGCGCGGTTAGACCACAAACAATAATTATTTAATTAACACATTAGGTCAAGCTGCCTATATGGCACGTTCAAATCGGGGCAAAAATCTCAGTGTAGCGAGGTCCTCTTTTTATATGTAATATTTTCTGATAAGCCATCCTTTACATGTTCAACTTATACACAGCTGCTTTGAATAACCCATCATGACGTTTTCCGCATGCAATTTCAAGAGGATATTTATACTGCAATTATGTGTTGCCGGTACGTGCGTGGGTGTGTTATAATCCGAATGGAGTCTAGTAGTTTTACAAAAACCTAATCCTTTCTGTGATAACAACAAATCGTGCCGCCTTTATCCAGAACTTTAAACTTAATTACAGGCTTACCTCGATGCATTTCAAATTGCGAGGCTAAGAGGACGCCGTAGATTGTCTTAACAGCACTGGCACAGGCAGTTTATTTGAAATAAAGTGCTAGTACTAGTGCTGTAAGACAATTTATGGGAAAAGCTTTCATAAGTTTATATTTTAAAGACTTTTTACTGTGGCTCGCGTTGCTTAGGAGGTTTTTTTCTATCCATTTCTTAAATAGACTTTACAATCATTTTATTGGAATGTCTCTCTATAGATGCCGCACAAAGAATATTGCATGTGGGTGTGAACAAAAATGAGGGAAAATTGATTTATTTTTATAGAAAAATTGCTCGAAAAGCCTTGATCCTCTTTAACAAAGCCGCGCAAGGACACTAAAAAGGGCGTAATAGATTCCGATGCAGGATCGCGGGAAGTGCAGAATTCGCGTAACTATCGGAGGGTTTTTTTTTGTCATGAGATTAAATTAAGTGAGCTGCCGCACAAAAACCGCCCATTATAGTGGCACAAGCGATGTAATGCGGCTTAAGTTCGATTTATGATAAACTGTGATGCACAGATTAACAATAATTGTTTCACGTTTAATTTATTTAGTGCTCTTTGCCAAAATATCTGCATTTCGGCAAATGCCAACCCATATGAAATTTATATACCTTTTCTACGCTTCCTGCCGGCAGCTCCGAGGCCGTCTGCTCTGCATACGATCATCCGAATAGCTCTTAAAATTTCATACAACATATTAATGAATGATCAGCTGATCAAACGACTTTCTCAGTAAATATCTTTATAACGCAAATATTTTTACCTTTGACTCAGTATATATGGGATAAATAATGCCATAAATTCATCACATTCTCCGTACGTAAACTCTCAATACATATTTGTGAAACTCATCCGAATCACTTCAAGATACTTTACAATAACATATACATAATGTTGTCTTTGAATAGAATATGTGCAAGCCTTGTCTTCGTCAGAGCCCCATCTCTTTGAACCTGTTATTGATTACCAGAGTCTTTCTCAGTTCCAAGAGAGAGGTGCTTCTAGATCTAAACGCAACTGCAGTGTTGCGCTCAATCTCTTTACAAATGGCCATTCTTCTCTTCTCCCAGCTTTCTCTTCTCGGCACGACGATTGAATCACAATCCTCTTCGTCGCTTTCTTCACATCGTTCGTAATCGAAAACGTGGTCCTCCTGTTCTGTTCGTTTTAACCAAAACCGAAGTCTCTTATGACTCCTTTTTAGTTGATCCTCGCTTAAAGACAGGCAGTCCAAGCGGGGCAAGCTCGTGTAAGGGACAGTTTTTCCCTCGTTCCTACACTTCTTGCAAAATACTTTCGAGACAGACTTCCGGATCCTTTTCCACACGTCCTCTTTGCGATGGGTCTCTCCATGTGGTTCGCTTGTCTTGTTGATTCTGTCAGTTTTCTCATCGATCTTGCTCCTTCCCTCAAAAGAATTCCTCTGCTGAAAGTTGAAAACATTCTCCCATATTTGAATGGTGGCAGATTTTCTTCTGATGTGCATTTTTTTGACGCTATTTAGGAGTTACTGGTTGAGATCTTCCGTTTGGAACAGTCCGAGTCAGTGACAAAAATACTTTCGATCTGACTTGTCGCGACTTTTATGCAGTGAACACCTGGAATGCTAAGACATGATCGAGTAATTCAAGACGACTTCCGCTTTACAAGAAGGGATGAAAGCTTTTTATGGGAGCTATTTTTGGGCAGACCGGAGACCCTTGGTATAAGTCATTTAACACCTTTATTTTGGGAAAGGCTTTTGATCGAGGTGTGGAAACCATTAACAGTTTTTCAAGGACTTTATTTGAATAGTTTTGTGTATAGTTTATTGTACAAAGTAAACATCATTATAGGTTAGCAAGGAAGAAGTAAACAGTGACGCATTTCCTTAGGCAAAAGTAGGTTTCCTATCTCAAATTTGCGGAAATACCCGTAACCATGAACTTCTTCCTTTGTAAACAAACATCTCTGTTTTTGACAAATTACAAGACTGATGAAATCGTCTGTTGACACACGAGTAGAAATTGCAAATTTGGAGCCCTGATGACAGAAACAAAATAGGACAAGGTCATAATGGCGTGTTTGTGATTAAAGAAGACTGTGTAAATAGCAGAGAAAAACAGATAATGATGAATCTTTTGTTGTTATTGAAGCACGGGTTAGACCATTAGCGCTTTTATCATTATTTGAAAATTCTGTGTCACAAGTACAGACCACACATATCGCTTCGATAAACAAAAACAACCGCAATATAAATTGGAAACTTCTACCTTGATCTTACTGGAGCGACATAACCACACATCTGTATCTCATCAACTCAATTCTGTATTATAATTGTTACTTTTTTCTTCGCGAGAACTTTTTGCTATCATGGAAAATAATTTTATCGGATGAACTCCTAAACAAAGAAAGAGAGAGTGATAGAGACAGAGTGCACGCGCCAATCTGTGTGTTATTCCAGCTGGCTCTCAGTCAATGCTTGCTAATGAATGAGTAACGTGCAAGCGTGCAGTTGTCAGAAAAGGGCTGTGAAACGGTTTCCTCACTTTTTTTCTCCCGTCTTTCCCCGACCATGGTAGTTTCTGCGCACCCCTATGCGTTTCCTCTTACTACCGAGATCCTGCTGTAATAGGCCGTGAACAGAAACAGCAGACAACGAGAATAAAAACACGTGTAGTTTAATGGCGAACTGAAAACAGAAGGTCAAAACAAGCCTGCCAAGACTGACAGGTAACATGCGTGACGCGTGACAGGCAACACTGCCACAGGCCAGCCAACTACTGTTTTTTGGCAATTTTTTGTATATAACTCATACCCAGTTAATGAACGATACTACTGCGATATTATTCTTGATTTTAAAAACATTGAAGTTTCATTTTTCATTCTATTTCATTTCACCGCAGCTTAACAATCAGTGTTGCCCACCCCTTTACGATTTCTTTCAGCTTTTTTGAGACGAAACAGAGAATATACTTCCATTCCCATTGAATTTATTTTGCTCATTCTCCTATTCTTTTTAGGGCATTTTCGTTAGCAGGAAATTTGTTGGTGGACCCTCATTAACCCGTTTAGTAGTGCCCCTTATTGCTTTGAATCTGGATCGGGGTTTGTAGCCCCCAACATCACTCTGCATATACTCCAATACCCTTCCTATGAAGCTGGCAAGGATAATTTGGTTAGAAATCAAGAGCTTTTTTAGTTGGTGATCATTTCCTTTATTCTCCAGACCTTACTGTGTGATTCAGGGTGATAATGTAAGGAGAAATTAGATGCTTGTCACTCTTAGGGATCAAAGGGTTAATCAATTGAATATTTGCATATTTTACTGAGCTAAAGAAGCCAGAGGGAGGTTCACTTACACCAACAGAAGACATTACGAATTCAAGCCGGTCGAGCTTCGATACATCCAAGAAGAGCCAAGAATAAAAGCTATAGCCAAAGAAAAAAGCCACTTCTCAAGGAAGTCGACTCACTTTCAGTTCAAACACGACTTCGGCACTCGCTCCAATCGCACGATGTAGACTAATTTGAGCCCGTGATAGTCAATGGTTTGCTTTTTCACTGGTCAGCGGCTCAACAAAGGAAAAAAGTTCACAGGAATCGACCTGCAAGGTCGAGCTCCTTGAATTCACGTTTAAAACTGCGATAGGTATCCATGTTTCTCAAATTATTAGGAATAGTGTTCCATAGTCGGGCAGCTTGATATTTCCACTAGTTTTTCGAGTTTTTACGTTAAGCGATTACCACAAAAATGCCAAGACTCGGCACAATAATTAAAAGGAGGAGCTATGAATGCTCTATAAAGAATCTTCCGCAGCTTTAACTGAAGGAAGCAGTTTCTTCATCCTTTTCAGAACAGCGATCTTAACCCACTATTACAATCTGCATACTGCCAGTATCACAGTAGGGAGACAACGCTGGTCAAAGTTGCTAATGATATTCTATTAGATATGAACTCGCAGCGCGTTACATTACTTGTCCTTCTAGATTTAAGCGCTGCATTTGACACCGTGGATCATGCGATTTTGCTGCAACGTTTGACCACTGACTTTGGTGTGCGCGAGAAGGCCGTAGAATGGTTCTCGTGGTATCTGTCAGGGCGCAGTCAGCGCGTGTTGTTTGAAGGGGCCACATCGGACAGCTTCGATCTGCCTTTCGGTGTTCCACCGGGCAGTTGCCTTGGCCCGCTATTGTTTGTAGTCTATGCCTCCGAGCTCTTTGAGATTGTACAAGCCCACCTGCTGAATGCAAACGGTTTCGCTGATGACACGCAACTTTGCTTGTCGTTTAATCCCAATAGTCCTGCGGAGCAAGCGAAGGCACTGGATACCATGGAGTGGTGCAGTAATGACTTACACAAATGGATGTACCAGAACAAGTTAAAAATAAATGATGATAACACAGAATTCCTTATCATTGGATCAAGACGGCAGTTGCTTAAGATTAATCACTGTTCAGTTCATGTTGGCACAGTGGATGTAAAGTCAGTTTCTGAAGTGCGCAATCTCGGTGCCTGGTTTGACTCGCGTTTTTCCAAGTAAACACATATATCTAAGTCTTGTACTGCCGCATTTTTCTGGCTACATAATATCAAGAGAATAAGCCAATATTTACCTAGAGAGAAATTAGGAATGGTGTTGCATGCTTTTGTTACAGTGGAATAGATTACCGTAATGGACTCCCGCTCTATGGACTACCGGACCGTTAAATCGCCAAATTGCAAAGAGTACAAATTAAAACGCTGCAGCTGGGCTGCTCACGTCAAGTATAAAGTATGATCACATTACGCCCATTTTACTTAATTTGCATTGGTTACCCGTAAAATACAGAATTCATTTTATTCTTACTCCTTTTCAGAACTACCAGGAAGCAGTGTAATGGATGCCTGGACAGTGATTGAAAAGGTGGTGGACAGGGTTATACAAACATATCCCCGATAGTTTAATCCTCCCCGGGACATTTCGAAAAAGTACGATGTGGAAGAGGAATATACAATTCTGAGATCGGCCAGACCTGTCAACACCAAGTAGGAGCTTGTTAGGTCTTATGACGCTTTACTGAGATTGGCCGACAAGAATTAATAAGCTGAGTGAGTAAGCCTTGTCAAAGAAGATGCTCCTCTAAAATCGCCGTCCATACCTGCGATGTGTGCATTTTTCTCGTCGGTTACCGTTCAAAGCAGTTGTTGCTAGTCGATACCCACCCAATCGAAACTGAACTTGGGAGAAATGGCGATGGTATATTGAAAGTATACCCGACCAGCGGCTCTGCTTCCCAGTATCAGTATGCGCTTGGATATCAGTGGAAGAGACTACAAATCAGTGGAGTTCAAGCAAAGGCTATGCTGTATGCGCTTGGATATCAGTGGAAGAGACTACAAATCAGTGGAGTTCAAGCAAAGGCTATGCTGTATGCGCTTGGATATCAGTGGAAGAGACTACAAATCAGTGGAGTTCAAGCAAAGGCTATGCTGTATGCGCTTGGATATCAGTGGAAGAGACTACAAATCAGTGGAGTTCAAGCAAAGGCTATGCTGTATGCGCTTGGATATCAGTGGAAGAGACTACAAATCAGTGGAGTTCAAGCAAAGGCTATGCTGTATGCGCTTGGATATCAGTGGAAGAGACTACAAATCAGTGAAGTTCAAGCAAAGGCTATGCTGTATGCGCTTGGATATCAGTGGAAGTGACTACAAATCAGTGGAGTTCAAGAAAAGGATATGCTGTCTCTCTGGATGTTCAAAGAAAGTACAAGGTAAGATCAGGCAATTTTTTACCTTTTCCTGCCAAAATTGAATAATTTCAATTAACTTCATCTCAAGTTATAATAAGTTTGAATTAACGAGTGCATTTTGCATTTTTCAGAGGTCGGAATGAACATCTCTTGAAAAGATCACTTCCAGATTCAGTTGATCGATCGTTAGTCTCTTGCGATCCGGATGACCAAGACAGGTACCTTCATAACAAATTATGCAAGGCTTTAATAGCAACACGAGGCCTTGCAAGTAACGTAGCCAATTTCTAAATGAAATGAGCTGTGTTTTTTGCGTGGCCTGGGATTCCACCTAGTTAGAACCATCCGCCAATACATTTTAGTTTAAATTACCATTGCATAACATTCTAGACAAGTTAATAAATTGCCCTTATCGACAATCCCACTGATCGAGAATACTCATCCGGAAAAAGGATGACTTTTAAGCTACACATGAAACACATCAGCCTGGCTCTCTGTAAATCTTCCTCATGAAAACTTAAGGTCAAAAAGAAATTTCAATTATTGCCTACAACATCTTTTGCTGGCAGGCGCTCAGTTGTCCCTATCTAGTTGACATGCCGTTTGGGTTTCATTCATAGCCTGATGGCACAACTGCTGCTGCAGATGAAAGGGGAAAAAAAGAACAATCCCAAGACCTGCTACATCGACCTTTCCGTGATCGACGAGAAACGTGATAAAGTAGATTTTGAATGGCACCCTTGTACACTAAGGAACACTTCGGGAACATTCTCCTCTATAAAACATAATCGGGACTTTAATTATGAATTCGTGTTATTCTGTAGAGAAATTTATTTATTTTCGAATGCCAAAAAA